CGAATATTTCATTCTAATTTACATTACGAAACATTTGCAATACTTTCATTTGCAATAAAAACTTCAATGAACGGTGAAATTACAACTACTTCCGTTTAGCTAAACATCCAACCACCGTCTAGTAACAAATTCGTTGGAAAATACAGGTAACCCTCCTTTATAACACGGTTTCACTGTAACACGTTTCATAAATTACGGGGGAACCCTTTGTACAATACTGTACTACTACAGCACTGGATAACACGGATTTCTGTTTAACATATTTCCAAAATGAAATTACCTTAAAATAATGACCCCCGAAAGAAAAATATAAATTCAGGGTCTCATGTAAAATGATTTCACATGACACGATTAATATTTTTCTAGGAATCTATCTATCTACCGTGTTATAGAAGGGTTACCTGTATTGATTTAATACATTAGATTAAAAAGTTTCTACCTCTTTGATTTAAAAAGAAAATTTGGCTAATTAATAATTTTCTTATGTTAATAGAGTTATGTATATATTTTACATTTATCATTGTAACGTATCTTGTATTTACAATTCATATATGTATCACGTTGGTATATATTATCTAGAATTCTTGCTTAAAATTGATTGTATTTTCTTCTATTAAAACAAGAAAACATTTTCTAATTTATAACCTGTACATTGAGAGAGAAAAGAGAGTTAAGTTTCGCATCCTAATTTATTTCACTCGAGAAAGACAGTAGATTAATTCAAAGTGTATCTCATCTTCTACTTTTAGATTTATTCACGCATCTCTCGGTATCATTTTTCTTGCGTCTTATACTCTCGTGAAAGATTATACCGAAAAATGATTGTAGGAAGAAGCATCGTCTTGGCAAGTATATCTCATTAACCTTAGACAATTCCTTTATAATAATATTATCAAAACGAAACGTAACTGTATCCACAAGCAAGGAAAAAAAAAAGAAAGAAAATAAAAAAAAGATTTATATTTATTTGAAGTCAATTAAAATGATAAAATGCATTAGATTTAGTTTTATTTGATGTTTCAGAAGAAAAAAAAAAAAAGGGGGAAAAATAAAAATATTGCGAAATTCTATACTTTCGAAAGAAAATGGAGATAGATCAAGTGTGTGATATTTTTATGTTGTATATTATTAATCATTTACGTTAAAAATTATCCTGGATTTTATCAACAACTCGGAACACCACTTTGTCAACTTTTTTACTTTGTAATCAAGTAAAGTATTGCGATAATGGTGAAATTGTTTCGTTGTTTCGAAAATTCTTCGAAAAACTTTAAACCTTAGGAAAGGAATGGTTTTCTAAATAGTCCCTTAATGCCCAAAATAGCCAGTCCTTAATGGAACGTGATGTTTGTTTGAAGAAGATGGTCATAAAAATAAAGTGGCAGTATCTTTTAAAAGAATTCTTGGTGGTATTGTAAATTAGATAAATACAATTCATCCTTTTATCCTTTTTTTTTTTTCTCAAGAAAACAATCTTCTCATTGTTAGTATCTTTATGACCCACCCACAATAAAAGGTTCATCACAACCTGGAACTATTCGGAAACAATAAAACATTTTACGATCTTAAAAACCCGTTAACAAATGAATCTCGCTATAAGTGTATTGGATTGCATCTCATATACAATACGTACACCCATACAACTTACTAATTTTAACATTTTTCATATCTTTGTTCACTTTTCTTGGTTTAAAATCAGGTGTACATCACATACACATTATCTGAATCATTCTTTGAAGATAAAGTTAAGTAAAGCGTTCAAAATTCCAATAAATTTGTGCAACTATTCGAATAATGAATCGAATACTCGTTGCAAAAGCTTACAGAAATCGTATAAGAAATGATAATTAAATAAATCATATAACGTAATATTTTTTATCTTACAATTAGAAATAAATTATATACTACATCTATAAATTATTCTTTTTCTCGAATATAATTCGAATTCTTTTTAAAATGAATATAAATAAGTTTGTTGAAATCGTCAGAGAAAACGTAATTTCCAACCGAGAAAACGGTAATATTCTCTAATAACAATGAGGATAGCTCGAAGATGAGAACGTCAGCGAATGAGGTATAATTTCAGGGCAGTAATTAAATCGGCCAGGAAATTATACATTAATATGATTTTGTTAACGTTGCGGTTACACGGTACACCATAAAGCTTCTCCCTCTCTCTATCTCTATCTCTCTCTCTCTCTCTCTCTCTCTCTCTCTCTCTCTCTCCCTCTCTCTTTCTCTCTCTCTCTCTTTCTCTCTGTTTCTCTCTTTTGCAAATCTTCGAAGGATTGACTAATTTATTTAACGCTAATAATTTATTTTTTAAATGTCAGAGAATGCAATGCTGTAAATATTTTCTACTTTGCCATTTCTTTGAAAAGTTCCGAAAAATATTTTTTATACTTAAAGTGAATAGATTTTAATGATTTTTATATTAAATTAGAGTACACTCTTTTGTCTACGCATAGAATACCATATCTAGCTATAAATTTAGCATGTAAAGTTCATAAAATGTCAGAAAATGTAATGCTGTAAATTGTTCATCTTTGCAATTTCTTTGGAAAGTTTTGGAAAAATTTTTTATACCTAGAGTGAATAGATTTCAATGATTCTTATATTAAATTAAAATACACTCTTTTGTCTACGGGTAGAATACTAATTTGAGTTATAAATCAATCTGCAAAGGTTCAAAAAATGACAAAGAATGCAATGCTGTAAATTTTTCCTACTTTGCCATTTCTTTAAAAAGTTCTGGCAAATATTTTTTATATTGAAAGTAAATAGATTTTAATGATTTTTATATTAAATTTAAGTACACTTTTTTGTCTACGCGTAGAATACTTTTTTGAGTCGTATTATATATAATAATAATAATAATAAAAAACTGAAAGAGATAAAGTAAGGTAACACTCAAAATCAATCAATCGTGATTCCCTTGCGGAACATTCGTTGAGATACTTGTTGCGCGAAACACCTTGCACGTTGTACTATTTCAGAGAAAGGAAAAGGGAATACGAGAGGAAATATCGATTGAAGGAAAAAGCATTACCAAGTTTCTAACTTTCTAGTCTCCTCAGCGATTCTAAACCTTTTCTCGTTTCGTTTCGTTTCATTTCATTTCATTTCATTTCATTTGGTTTTCTTCGAAATCTAAAATTTTAAATATATTTTACGAAACGAATATAATTTTCCTTTTATCGATAGCTGATAACTTGAAAAAGTTTACATAATTATAATATCAGAATATCTTCAATATGTATAATAAAATGAAGAAAATCATTAATGACGAATGAGAAAATAAGGAGTATTACTTGAAAGTATAATAATATTCATCAAAACCTTATAATTCAAAAATATCTTGTTCATAGATTCCCTTAATCTCACTTCAACGTCTTATCGATACTTTTTCCTCCATTAAAAAGTCATTAAATTGACTTACAACAGTTCCATTAGACCTTGAAAACATTCGACTTTTTAAAAACTCTACACGGTTGTAGAGATACCCCATTAGATAATAATAAAAACCCATCATTCAATCATTTTCCCCGCCAAAAAAAGGACACAATTTTCACGTGCATCATTATATATCAATTTGTTTTAATGTTAGATGGAAAAATACAATTTTTGTAAGAATTTCTTTTCGAGAGAAAGAAATTTGAAAAGATCAAAAATAAAATACGCGAATGAATTGAAGAGTTTCGTACTTGACACGATAGTATTTTGAAAAATTTTGAATGACTCGCGTGGGTTGAAAAATCTTGAGCATAACACACGAAAGGATGGTTGAAAAGTTCAGAGTTTAACGTACGAGAATGGGTTGAAGAGTTTTGCACGTTTATGGGTTTCCCACAGCGTGCTAATCTCTAAAGTTTTCAGTCATCATCGTGGTAGGTTAAAAACTTTTCAACCCACGGTCGAATGTTATTCAAACTTTTGCTGAAAAACTTTTCAACCCTCATCACGTGATAGGCCTAAAACTTTTCAACCCTTCCCGTCATTTGTTTATCAAATTTTTCGACCAATTTGTTGATAACCAATTTCGCAAAATTTGTTAACTCGCTAATTTCAACAATACGATTATTGTTTCATTTCGTAGAATTATTTATAGGCTCGTTTTATTTTCTTAATTACCATAAACAACCGAGAGAGAAAGAGAGAGAGGAGAGAAACTTTGATAAAGCATCTCTGTTGCTGAGAGAGAATATTAATTTGTCGATAATGAAAGTAGCAGAACATAGGCCTAACCAAATTACATTGTCCGAGTATTAGTGATTCCGAAAATAGTACGTGCATACCCGCTTATGTGAGTGCATTTACTTTCGTGAGAGTTAATGTTACCATCGTTACACCCTTCGTACCTTTCCTTCGTTATACGTATAATGAAATTACCTTGAGTGGGTAGCAATACTTTTGTTCAAATCAAATTATTCATTCTTCAGATTGAATTCGTTCTCTTTCGTATTGATCAAAAGCGTAGTAAATCTATTATTATTATTATTATTATTATTATTATTATTATTATTATTAGTTGGGGTTAAGAATTCGAAAATTAATTGCAGCAAATATTAAATCCCGCAAGTGTTCCCGAACCTGCACAAGATTCCCCCATTCGTAACCCTCCTACCCAATTTCGTTAAGATTTATTCTTACATTCTCTTCCCATTCACGTTTCAGTCTACCCAATGGTATTTTCCCATTAGACCTATCACTTAATATTTTATCCATACGTTCCACGTAACTCATTAGTGGTCCCAATAGGATGGGACCTCAAATAGTTCCAAAAAACGTTGTGACACTTTTGTCATACCTCTAAGAGTTTAACATGTTTCCTCATCACGTTGTTTTACACAACGATGATTTATTAAAATACTTTATTTTCGAACAACCTAAATTTTGATCTCGTCTTATAATTTATTATTGTTTAAGATTATTTGTTTGTTTCTCAAACTTTTACCCATTATTTTTTTGCAAGAATGACGTTTTAATTGATAAAAATATAGGAAATTTGAAGAAACAAATCAGGTGGGAGAAAAGGGAGGAATGGGCCCTTGGGCCTTTGGCGTCCCTCTCATCCTTTGCTGCGCTTTGGGTCTTCTCATTAACATCTACGTCCTACTCGTAGTTCTTGGTCTTGGTAAACAGGTAAAAATGTATTCTTGTTACGTAAATGTCCACTTATTTCTTCCGAATAATATCAGAAGACAATTTTTCTAATTTAACTTCTAAATTATTATTCCAAATAAGTATTTATTATTTCACCGCAATCATTTTCCTTCGGTTCATCTTAGATCTTAAAAAAGACATTCGTTTGTTCGAAACAAAATGGCGGTAGAAGACAAAATGGCGGTAGAAAAGAAAATGGCAGTAGAAATAATGTTTAACAAAAATAAATGTCTACGGTTACTTGTGTGAAAGACGAAATAAATTGGAGAGTATCAAGATTCACATGATCGTTTGGTTTATTGTCCGAAATATTAATGTACGAGAATAAAACCGAAATATTCGATCTTTCACCAAAGTATTATAATAGGTTATGTGTTGGCAAACAATTATGCGAATTTTGACGTTCCCCAATTTCGATCATTCACGATAACTTTTAACTATTACATAGATAGAAATATGGTAATGAATATATAGGTATTAGGTGTCTTTAATTTCGTAGACGCAGCAACAACAAACAGCAAACACGTTGTTATTGATTCATCTTGGTGCTGTTGAAGCTGCCGTGTGTCTGATATTACTGATCTTTACTACTACACCTTGGTCAGTAGCCGGTGATAGTTGGTGCGTATTTCACGGCTTTCTTTTAGCCCTTTTACATCCCGTCGCATTATGGACCGTCACGGGATTGAATTGTGATCGGTGAGTACTCTTTTAAACATTTAAATAATCCTATTTTATCGTTGGTTACGGATAAACGTATAAAAAGAAAATCCCTGAATTATTCATTACGATTTTTATACGTCAGTTATAAAATATAAACAAAAAATATCGTATTATTTCCATATCGTTTAGTTTTTATTTAATATTGTTATAGTATTAGTTTCGATTTAACGCGAATCGGTATAAAAATTCTTTCCTAAATCAACGTTGGGAACCTTTCGTGTATCATCTTTTTTCTCTCTCTCTCTCTCTCTCTCTCTCTCTCTCTCTCTATCTCTCCCTTTTTCTTTTTTAGATTTCTTTTCTTTTCCAGAATTTAGAATCGTTTAGTATTATTCCATCGAGTTTTTCGATACATCGAGTTTCGACGCTTTTTCGATCAAAACTTTTTATTCAGACGCCCCCCAACTTACTCCTCCTATCTCAATAACAATAGAAACTTTCGACTATTGTTTTCATACAACCCTTATTTCCCCCAAAAACCCTTACCATTATTTTATTCCAAATATTCTAGTTAAAATCAAATGTATATGTATATATATATAACTCGTTAGAAAATGAATTGATTATATTATTTATTTGTAAAATAATATCGTTAAACAAAACTTGTCAACGTAATAATGAAAAACTGTTAACGCGAATGTCTTATATATAATGAACGATAAATCTAGCTTTGTTTTATTCTTCAAGCACCGTTGGCCCGTCGTCATCGTCGTCGTCGTCATATGAGAACGATATAAAGGACAACAAACTCTTTGATAAGAAATGTCAATAATGACATTCTCTCTATCTTTTACGCTGTCAATTTTCTAGAAGAACGGTTTGCCGTTTGATATGGAGTATCAACTATTACATCCTCCTCTCTTTACTCAATTCATCGGTCGTTCCATTAAAGTCAAGAGATAAGAAGGGGATGGAACTTAAGATGGAAAGAAAAATGGGGAAAATGAAAGAGAGAGAGAGAGAGAGAGAGAGAGAGAGAAAGCCAAACCGGTGCTCTAAAAAATCATTTTTCCTTTAGCGAACGTATTATACCAAATTATTGAATTAATAAACGTAAATAGTTATCACCAATTAAATTGGATTTAGTGATTTATTTTCTTTTTTTTTTTTTTTTTTTTTTTAAATAGATACTACGCCATTGCTGCCCCATTGCATTACACCGCATTGGTATCACCTAAACGAGTAATTGTCGGTTTGGCAGCTTCCTGGACGGGTGCTATTCTTTTGTGTTTACCACCATTCTCCGGATTGGTACCACCTTACAGGTAATTTAGACGATTATTCGATCAAAATAGTTAACTATTTATGCATACGTTAAGAACGTGTAAGAATGTTTGTACTAAACAGATATTTTATATGTTATCTGTCCGCTTAAAATTGTACACCTAAACTTGAATAATTTCTTTCTTTCTTTTTTAATATTATAAATTAAGTCGAAGTTTTTTTTTAATACTTATCATATATAAAAGTGATCATTTTTGACCAATCCCATCTAAAATTTTGCAATTTGATAATAATAATATAAATTGTTATCTTAATACGAGTCATATTCAGTTATTAGGTTAGCCAATATCGATAAGATGAACATTTCTTTTCGATAGGTACAGTCCAGGATTAGGTTGTTGCGCGCCAGATTTTGGAAACGGAAGTTGGGGTACCGCGGCTGCACTTTACGGTGCGATTTACGCGATTTTAGGTTTGGCATTACCGGCAATTCTCGTGACGGTATGCAATTTGCGAGTCCTGGGTATAGCCCGTTATCATCGACATCGTATCGCTAGTGCAATTTACGAAGTCACTTTAAGCGCCCAAGTGACCATCACCCATCAGCGAAATCCATTTTTCGTGCCCACTGTTACGGCACCCTCGGCTGGTGGCCCTCCTCGTTTTCACAGTGCTGCCAGCACGGTTCGTAAACACTGTTTTTCTTTTACATTTATTTATAAAATTATTCTCAGGATACAATACTTTTCAAGTTTGGAAAGTATCGTTCAATTCAAACGAATTGTCAACGTAATAATAAAATTAAGAGTTCAATGTGTTTAGTGAAAAATTACTATTAAGAATTTGTGTGTGAGAAAATGTATTTGAAATTTGTTCATTTTTGAGGAGAAGATTAATTGATTCTTGTTGGGTAATAAAAAAGAAAAATGATGAATTTTTATAGGTTATGCAACTAGTCGGTTCACTATATTTGCTGTATTTTCCCTATTGCGGATTTATACTTTGGGAATCTTGCGGAGCCGGTAATCAAAATCGAGTACAGGCTCATCCTCGTTTAGCCTCGTTGGCATCTGTTCTTCTTGCCTGTTCTCCGCCCATTAATGGTCTCCTATATGGTCTCAAATCACAGACTCTGAAACGATCCGTACAAAATTATTGGCGAAAAAAGGCGACCAAGTCAGAGTTGCAACAGGTAATTTAATTAAATGCAATCTTACAAATCAACGGACTCGTTATAAACGGTCATATTTTCTTTGGTAAATTATTCGAAATTAATTAATGAACAAATTCAATTGGAATAAAATGAAAAAAGAAGAAAAATCATCGTTGGATTGAATTTTAGGAGATTCAAGCAAGAACACCGAGCGTTGCAGGTTCGAGAAGACCATCGGGAAGTGGAACCGGTTCGTTATTTCCATTTCCCCCATTGCAACGACGATTGAGCGAAGCATTGTTAGCAATTGGTAACTGCAGATCGGGAAATAGCATCGAACAAGGGAATATTCATTTTCATCGTACGAGATTACAACCAGCAGCATCGTGTAACACGCTTAGAGTACCGTCGATGGAATCAGGTAAAAATAATATTGGTCTGGTTACGAATGATACAAAAAAATGCGAGGGAACATAATCGTTTAATAGGTGAAAGTGGAAAATTGGTGAGGTCCAGCGCTAGCGCGGCGAGTTTAATGGGACCCCATTATCGTGGCGATTTTACGGGAAACGAAATTGGAACTAACCGTTCCATGTCTACGAACGAAACACCCAGACGTAGTCCAAGAATTTTAATAACGCGTGCATGCAGTGAGGAAAGCCAAGACGGTGGGAGCCCACTTCGGAAATCTTACTTTCCTAACTCGGCCCATCCATCCTGTGAAAGTACATTTGATTTATTTCCTTCATCTTATCGTTGTTTCTCCCATCCATTATTACACTTTGCCATACAATAGAATCAATTAGATCGTCGAATTTTCTTCTAATAAAACTATTTTATGAATACAATTCGTCATAAATTATTCTATTGTATAGGAAAGTTGTTTGTTTCTATCAATTATTTGCTAAGCATTATCATATTATATTCTTTAACGATTTACCAAGAACGTAGATGGAGATACTGTAGTACCGGAAGCGATAGTAGTACAGGAAGTAGCGAAACTAATGTTTGGACGACTGGGGTGGCACAAAAAATGGGAAAAAATAATGTCAAAAACATGGCGGACGTTTGGCCAGCCAGTCGACGATTAATACGCGTTAAAACGTTAGAAGAGGATTCTCTTTCGATTGGTATAAGGCCTAGCAACAACAGCGAGAGCAGCGACACAACTGATACAACAGCCACGACAACGACGACAACTTTACCGATCAAGACGCGAACTCTCGTAAGTCAAAAATTCATATAACTCAACATAATGATTCTCGTATCTTTCCTTATCATGCATATTTAAATTTTTATTTTTTTTTCTATTTTTTAACTTTATCTGTTATATATTTAGTTATTATTTTATTATAATTATATTTAGTTATTGTTTAAGCACTTACAACGATAATTCGTGATTACGAGAAACAATAAATTACGTTTATTATAGTCTATGGTTACTTTCTGTTTTTGAAAATCTACGTATTTTCTACAAAAATTAGTATTAGCCGGTGTTAAACAAACTTACCGTTTACGATGAATTCCAAGTTTGCACCAAAATGATTGAACAAAACGATAATTTAAAGTTAAACTTTATAAAAAGTTGTAACGATTATATCATTAACGAGCAACCGATATCCCAGAAACTAGAACCTATAATTGAGTTAATTTCCTATATTACAAATATTTGGAAAATTCTAGAATGTTGTTAACGTTAAGCGGCGCTGATGTCGTGTACGGTTCCAACAAAATGTCACTTATGACACGTCAAAATGAACACGTATTTCACAAAATCCCCAAAAAGTTTCTATACAATCAAATAAATTACCGTCCCTACTTTCCCACGTTACGTCTGTTTCATAACAGTTCATCCAATGAGACCCTTTTATCAATAATTTCAAACGAAAATAATAATTAATAATACTTCAATATACACGCAGGAGGAGGATGATGAAGAAATCGTTGCGAGGAGTAGGAAAGAATCGAAAAAAAAAGGGGAAAGGAGAGATCAAAGCGAAAGTGAAAACAGTTGGAGCAGCGTTGAAGAAATCGAAATGAAAGAAGTGGTAGAGAAGAAAAAAAAAGGAAAGGGAAAAGGAATGGAAGAAGAAGAAGAAGAAGAAGAAGTGGGAGAGGAAGGGGAAAATGGTGAAGAGGATAAAAGTGAAAAGTTAAAAACGTCTCGTAGAAAGAGAAGAATAACGCATCATTCCGTGGATTCCGAAGATCGAGATGATTCAACCCAACTTAGGCCACTTTTGACTCCCACCTATTAAATTCTTGCATCGAAATCGAGTTTTGTTTTTCCTCCAATAGGATTTCTTCGAAAATTTGAAACCCATAATATCGAATACCGGATATTGGATATCGGTAAACGATAAATTAATGAAGATCAGAAAAATCGTAACTGAAACCAATGTGTGTACCCAGTATGAAGTTAATAATACGTTCAACCGTTTATTCGCACCCACGTACGTGGTCAACGCGTTAACAATAGTTTATTTTGACTCGTTTACTCTGCCCTAACATAACCTAGAAAAAATTCGATCTTATACTGCATCTACGTAATCGGTTAAAATCCGGTTTATAATTAAATTAGAAAATAATGAACTAATTGTTAAGTTGTTTATTCGAAAGTCCATTTTTGTGTTTAATGAAACATTCCTAATTAAATTATAAGTCATATCTCTTTTGTAAAGTATAATTAAAAGATGATAATGATGATGATGATGGATAATAATAATAATAGTATTGGGATTAAATAGCATTGGAAGAAAAAAAATCGACTTTCGATTAAGAAAAAAAAAAAAAAAAAAAACTACCTCCGACCTATTACGTAATAACGCTTCGCGTATCCCACCCGGAAAGAATAAATATTTTTTCAAATATTCGTTCTGCGACACAAACTTTTTCTTGGCAACATCAAAGCAAGACGACTGATATTCCGATGGCCTCGATTATTTTCTCGATCGAAAAATGAAAAATCGATACTAACGAACTAAACTGAACCGATCTCTCTGTGACCTCATACCGAAAATGGACAAAAAAAAAAGGGAGAACCCACCCCCTTTTAGGTATTCGAGAGAAACCAACAACAACACATAGTTCCTACAAATCGCGAATTAATTCGTTGCAAGAGACAAACGAAAAAATACAAAGAAAGAAAAAAAAAAAAAAAAGAAACAATCGTTAATCGATCATTCGACCATTTTAGTTTCCATTTTTATTTTATTTCTTTGCTTTTCTATTTTTTTTTTTTTTTTTTCTCTCTTTTTCTTCTTAACGACGCTACGCCAATATACAATATTTCGATTAAACGATACAATTAATTGTAAAATATACAAAATCATTTTGATTAATTTAAGATTTATAGATATACGTATAGAGACGCGTTTATTGCTATTAAATAAATGTTTAATAGCGAAAATCTTTCCTTCCATGTAAATTAATTCGAATTTAACTCGAATGGATAAGACTATATAGATGAAAGAAAATCATTGAACAAAGGTGTAATAGAATATAAACGTAGGAAAATAAATTCTATTTCTATCGATGAATTAGATCAAATGAGTCTCATTTTTAGGCATTTTGTTCGTATTACAAAGTATGATCGATGTTAAAGATAATCGTATGGCACAAGGTCAAACGATTCTCCTATCGCGTGCTATTAGTCCTTTAATAATCTTCTAATGACACCTAATATGCATACATATATGTATCGAGGGTGTATCCGGATGGGTGGTACAACCATTTTTGCATGCTAAAATATATAAATCGAACAATAAAGATTCTTTAAGACGTTTTCTTCAACAATTTCTTTTTTTTTCCTTTTTTTATCCATTTGTTTGGAGAGAAAATCGTGCGTTGAAAATTTGATGATGTACTATTAATTATATCTACAATTACTCAAATAACAAATTCAATGTGATTAATCTAATGTAATTTCTTCCATGTTTCTAACAAAGAATCAACTCCCTCGAATGTGGGGGAAAGGAAAATTAATTTGATCACCCCTCCGGATGGTATATATGCAATCGTGAATAATGTAAACCTATTGTTATAATGGCTTCTAAAAAGAATTGTTTCACGTTAGAATTTTAATTAACAATTAAGCCTCCCCTCCCCTCTCCAACCCCCAACTCCCGTTTAATCATTAGCGAACGATGACTTTAGAATAAAACATAATTAAATTGAGAATTGAAACAATTAACGCGGCGGCGTCAATCATCATGTTTTTTATTTTTAACATCAAATCCGATATAATTAATATATAATATATGTGTATGTGTGTGTGTGTGTGTGTACATGCAAATGTGTTAAAAAATATTATATATTAAGTTTTCAAGATTATAATGATATTGAATATTTTCTATATTAATATATATTTTAGAATTTTAGATGAATTAACTGGAACATATATCTTTCTCGTTTTAATATTTCTTTTTCATTTTGTTTTTTTTTCTTTTTTGATGTCTTTTTTCTTATCTCCGAGGCTTTTTACTCGAAATTATCGATCGCAACTACCGCGAAATCAAATATCCGTCTATTAACGTCCCTCGCGTTAAAATTATTTTTAGCTTATCGAGTTCGGTCATACTCTCGGTCGACTCGCGACACTATTTCAATTAGTATGGATAATCGAGTTTCATCTCAATATATCGAATCGTTCTTAATCGTGTAAAATACGAAGAAAGTTCTTTTTTTTCTTTTTCTTTTTTTTTCTTTTCTTTTTTATTTAAACGAAACTCGATCAATTATCTAACAAGTCTGATCGATCAGTGGCAGTGAGAATGAATGAATGTTACAAATTGTAATGTTAATTTTCGCGTACATTACGTGTAAATAATAATTATGAATAATAATAATAACAATAATAATAATTAACAAGATTATTTGTCATCTTTCAAATCAGGAATTGAATTTCATTCTCTTTGACGAGAAAAAGAGAGAGAGAGAGAGAGAGAGAGAGAGAGAAAATAACACGTTGTTGTTGTTGTTTATTTCTTTCATCGAGTTTCATTTGCTTCTTGCAAATACGATAGGTCTGATTCGAGAATGGTCAAACTATTATATAATACGTCAAAAAAGAAATATTATTTTTATTATTGGTGTCGAATTAAAAATACGTTTAATAAGAAACATAAATAGAAATGAGACGATATCACCGTTAATTGTTGTCAGTGGTACCCCAATTGGGTATTCCGTTCGGATTATAATTAAACAAAATAGATATTTGTAAGAAATAATGAAGAAATATTCAAAATGAATAGGATATTTTTAAGAACTAACCAACCTTACTGATCCCCACAAAATTGACGAATCCATAAAGAATCGACAATAATCTGCTGCAGGGAAACGGTTCGTTGTCTGCTATGCATATCTCTTCTATTGATTATCATCGTTATTAATATTGTTATGATTATTATACGCGTCATCGATTAAACGTTGGAAACTTTCTTCGATCGAGCAAGTCAAATGGGATGATTGATATGTTTGTAAAGATTAATAACAATAAGATAACATTGAAAACATTAACAATATCTATATGTGTAAATTATTTAGATTATAAAAAGCGAAAAGGTAAAAATTGAAAGAAATTAAAATCGTGTGTTGAGAATATATAATATTATATTACATATTTTGTTTCTTTTCTATTTGTTTTCTGCCTACAGGGTAACAACCAGGAGTATTGAAAATGTTTAACAATATTTGTATGTATAATTATTTAAAGTATCAAAATCGTTAAAAATATTTATATATATATGTTACCGTCATAGCCAGAAATTCGCCATTGCTGGTAATTCCTCGGTATTCTCACCACTGCAAAGAGTCTTCCGATGAAGTCGGAAACAGAAGAATTCTTCCAGTTTTTCCTAGGCATCGAACATAATACTTTGATATTCTATAGAATATCAAATTACTATTTAAACAACGTTGAAAGAATACATTCTCGGGCACAGACACACACAACCATAC